ACTGAGGTACTGACTCTCTGGGGTCAATAAAAATCCCAGGGTGTTTCTTGAAAAGAGTAGGGGTGTAACCCTGGTGTCCTGGCCAAATTACCCATTGGCCTTTACCAATCATGGCCTCCAAATAATCCCCATCTATGAATTGGCTTCATCACTCTGTTCTACTCCCCATTGATAGCTGGTGTGTGGTGAGCGTTCTGGCGCTCTATGGATGGTGTTGCATCATTCAGGTGGATGCTGCATATTGATGGTGGTGGAGGGGAGTCCCCATTACCTGTAAAGCGCTTTGAGTGGAGTGTCCTGAAAAGTGCTATATAAGTGTAAGCAATTATTATTATTATTATTATTATTATAATAAAATGCAACCCCACAACCTAAGGTCAAGTGGGTTTCTTGGCCTTAACAACTAGGGCTGTGTGATATGGAACTGTTTTCTAAATTAAGTGGTCTATATGATCTGAGATGCAAATGAGCTCCTGAAAATCCTTGAATAATTAATCATTTTGAATCCTTTAAAAAATAAGCTAATTAAAATTGAGATATTTCACAAAGTATTAAGCACTTATTTTATTGCAGCATTTGCTGTTTAATTGCCAAAGAGAAGTCTAGCGAGGACTACCCATCTAAAAAGCCAAGCTTTAAGGACCTGGGTAAAAATCCGGCTCAAGGACTCAGTCTGTGAGGAGTCTGGATGATCCCCCTGCAGTCTGCATAAGACTAGACATGACTGGCTATTTGAAACGATGCCATGGTCCAACCCAGCCTCTCCCCTTCCATATTCCTCCGGGAAAGGATCCAGCTCACTGCAATAACATAATGGATAAGCAAAAAGCCAAAGACCTCATTTATACAGTACAGACCTTCTGGCTATAGGAATTTGACAAGATGAGTGTGCATCTCAGCTGGGTATTATTTCCCCACAGGAGGAACCTTCATCATCTGCAGCCCATTTACAAGGAGGCTAATTATTTTTAGTCAGAAATGAATGAATGGGAAATGTGTTCTTGAATAAAATACATATTATGAGCACTTGCGTAACATGCAGAAAGATGATCAAAAAAAATAAATGATTTATTTTCTCAAGTGTCTTTTGGTAACAACTTAGCAACTGCAAATGCTGATACATGTTTGAAGTACTGAAAACCGGCAATTAACACATTACAAGGAATTACACTTGCACATCTACACAAGTTAATAACTTGCAATTGTGCATGACTAAAAGCTTTCCTATAAGCAGTGATTAGCTTTTAAACCATTGCCTTCAGGGATCAGATGGAAACTGTACACTCTTTTCACTCTCACTTACAGGCTCCCTGCAGGTACAATCTACCCCCCACTCCTCTCACCTCAGGTCCAAACTCACTCAAGCACAGCAGCTCTTTAAAAGAATGAGATGAACAGATTTGAGCCTCCAAGGGAATGTCTCTGAAAGACTGAACAAAGGAAAGGGAGGAAGCAAGATTTCAGTGTGTGAAGAAAGGGCAGCTTTATTTTCATTTTAATATGAACCGTCTTGTTAAATACAATTGTTCTGTGAATTTGAGGAGCAGGTTACTGAAATACAAAATGTAATGCACCTATTGAAGCTCAGTGCCTGCTTCATGTGTGCATTTGCTCTCGTTTCAGTACATTTTCACTCGCAATACTACTTGATGAAGTTCACGGAGACGGCTACTGCCACCAGCCCTGGTAATCTCCATTGGTGCTGAAGGCCTTTGAGTTAACAAAAAAAAGGCTCAACAACGCAAATAAACAAGAGCCTTAGACCCGCAAATTTAAAGAAGATTCAGGGATCATATGAGTCTTTTTTTTTTTTACTACTACTACAAAAGGCGTAGGCCAGGTCTTTGTGAAGACCTGGAGGACACCTAAATTGAATCACAAAACCTCCACACTTTCTTCTCCTCAAACCCCCTGGGCCTGAGGCCAAGACGAATGCTCTGGGGCCAGAGATAAGAGAAGGGGACAGCAGGAGAGGTGCTCTGGCATGTTGGTATAAATCCGGGACAATCAGAACTGCAATACCTAAGGAGCCAATGTTAAAAAAAGATAAGAGGACGAGAGGTCTGCCCTATCTCCTACTCTCTAAGTGAGCACACACTGAACAATGTGTTGTGACAGATCTGCAGTATGCAATGACCACTTTCAAATTCTAGTGTTAGCATGCAGGTATTTCAAAAAGATCTGTGGAAAAAAAAAACATGCTTACAGATCTGCACATGTCTTCTAAATTCTGCATTTTTTGTAGACTAGTTACTTCAAAGCAGTAGCAAAGTCTAATGTTATGCTACCGCTTATAAAATATAAAAATCCACATACTGAATATAAAAATCCACATTGATATGCTGGTGCACTGCATTTTTCCCCAGGTGCAGTATTTCAGTATTTCTCGAAAGAAAAAATATATATCTTATATTAAAAAAACAAGCAATATATAAATATGGTTTGTGAAATGGTTATGAATTAGTTCAACTGTTCAATATAAAATGAAGCAAATGTATCATTTATAGTGGGACTTGACTGCACTGTGTCAGCACGCGCTTGAATGAACCGTGCATGTTCAGCTGCCAGCTGCCATGGACAGAATTGCTATTGTTGGAAACAATAACTGTGGTTTTAAATACATTTTTGGAATAATCCCCAGTCCTGCACAGCAGGAGTTTGATTAACTGGAAACAAACGCAATTTCTGTTCTGTTTCACAGTCAGCGCTCTCCTACATCAAGACACTTCACTGACACTCTGACCCATCCACATATGGGCATCCTCAGTGCCGCATGGGAGCATTTCCTGCGAGAGCGTCTCTATCGGCCGTGGTGCTCCCCGGCGAGAGCGTCTCCACTGGACCCCCGGCGACAGCGTCTCTATAGATTTATTGCCTTCTTGTAAACCTCCTGACATCCTCACCATTATATAGAATAAACAAGGTGTAAACAAAAAGGCACAGTTTAAATTGTGAAAAATGACTCACAAGTCACTGCAAGACTGTGTCACACATACTTAATGTATTTGTTTCAGAAAACTATTCGACCATCACCAGTGTTAAACACAGAGAAGATGCCCAGCATTTCTACCTCGGCACAACCAATTTTTGTTTCTGCCCCTGAAATACAGAAGGAAAGAAGCCTTTTCACTGGAAGGTATACACCTCTGCTCATAGGCTTTATGATCTTTATGGACTGGTAAGCGATACTGAGATGTTGACAGTGTTCATCAGCTGAAGATGCTCTGCAGTAAATCTCCCAGTGTGCCAATATGTTAGCCTGTCTCACATTTGTTGCACAATTAGCTAGATGGCTTTTAACCAGTGGAACATTAAGTTAAACTAATATAAACCTTCAGCTGATGAATTGGGCTATTGATTAACTTATCACACCCCAAGATTAAATATAAGTCAGTGCAACAACAGATCCAGCAATAAAAGCATGCCTTATCTTAATATGTGTTTTTTTCATAATGTGCAACTGGGAAAGATGGATGGTTTCCCCCTCTTAATTACAAAACCTATTGGACACTTACAGTACCTGTGGCCATGACTAAAGTCAGCCTGGAGCCTCTTTTGGCCAGAGGCTATAATCAGCAGTGAATGGAAGTGGCCAACTTCAAATTGCGTGACAGCAGACACAGGGAGCGAGATGAACAGCGTCTGGAGTGAGGAAGCGACAGGAAACTGTACAGCTCGCTCGGTGCAGTCTGTACCCAGCCCAGCAGCGCACACCACCTCAGGCAACATGCCACTCCAGAGGATTAAGAGAAACAAAAACCCGGCACAGCTCACTGCTCACACACAATACTCTCTGCTGCTCTCAACACCCTTCACACTCTCCCTGTGTGCTTGCTTCTCTGTGACCAGGAGCCTTGCTCCCTCTCTCCCTGCGCCGACTTCTCCAAAGACACACCCGCACTCTTCAGCATTGCTGAACACGTCCTCCGACATCTAATCATTCTCAGTTCTTAACGGCCCATTTGTAAACTGGCCAAAAAAACAACTGTGTATTGTCAGCTACAAGTGGGCAAAACATTTAGAATTCTCCACAAAAACATACCCAAAGGTAGTTTGATGTAAAAATTCTATAAAACAGTGGACACCCATGTAGCACACCTCCCCTGAACTTCATCGTGTAGGGTTGTCTACTTGAAAAAAAGTACTTCAGTCATGACTCCGCACTCCAAGAGAAACTAAACAGGCTTATGCAGCTGAGTGGACTTGATGGGTGATGGACTGGGAGGATACTACTAAGATGTCCTAAGCTGTGACCTCGAGAAAGTCAGTGCTATATAAGCAACACAAGGAGACGGGCTGGTGAGAGCTAACCTCACGCTGCCCATCACTGAAGTCAGAAGTAGAAACAAGGCCACTGATCCATCCATTTCAAAATTCTTCATGAGGATATAAAAATCCCTGACTCTGGCAGTGTTGAATACCAGCTGTGTTGTAGAGTTGGGGGTCAGGAATGAGGTTGCGTGCAGTAACATGTGAGTTTTTACAGGGAAACAAATAATGCACTAAAAAACATCCCGTCTATCTTTGTCGGCTTGGAACTACCTATGAATCCAATCAACAAATTTCATTTCATAATCTTTTTAAAAGACGACACGCAGAGAGATTAAATAAAGCAGAAAGGGTCAGTGACATTAGTTTCAATATCAAATCTAAGGAGACTCTGGGATGAGAGCACCTTCTGGTCACCCACACTGACACTGTTAACAGACACAGCTGAGCACAATACTTTTGTAAGATTGTGGTCTTTGGTTAGGATATACCCTTAAATCACAAAACAAAGACCATAAAAGGGGGTAACAAACATTTCAATATCATGTGTCCTTTTGAAGATGTCAACTCCACCATACCCTCGGCCCCTGGGCTGTTTGCTGAAAGAACTAACCCAGCGTCTCGAGGAGAACACGGATGTGAGAACGCCTCTTATCTAATGAGACATTTCTAAGGCCCTCAGACGTCCCCAGCCCCTCCTGCGCTTTCCCCAACGCCCTCTCGCCCCTCACCTGCAGCCCCCTCCGTCTCAGAATGCTGGAGTCGTCCATGCTGCCCGACTCGTGGCGGCCGGCTCCTGCCTGGAAAAGAATCCGTTTCACCGGCACGATCTCCACCCCGGGGGGTCAGCGGGCACCCGTCAGCTCCGAGCGCTAAGAGGCATGGGTGGGTGAAGGGCAAGCTGAGCCATGAGCTGGGCAGCAGTGCACTTGCACCAGGGGCAGGCAGATACCTCAGCCCTGGAAGGGGCTCAAAACAAAGGACTGTTCGGTAAATCTGAAAGTGGATCTCACCAGACTCGGGCCAACAACAGTGATGCTAATTGAATATAATACTGACAGGGCACAGACACTATTTAACTTCTCCACACGGGTCTTGTCTGCATATTTCTCTTCTTTGTCATCCTAGTATTCATTTTTATCATAAAAAATTGAGATCTGCTTTAATGCATTATACTCTATAGAGGGGAGACTTTCATTGAATCCCTCAGTCTTCTTTTGTTTCGGGATGGTCTGTCTTTATTGAAGTGAAGCAGTTCCTTAAGATAAGCATCTTCCAATCATTTCTCCACACCAGGTCTTCACAGAGGGGTCTCTAATATTTTCATTCACTTCACAGAGTGGTCTCTAATAGTTTCTCTCGCAGATCTCTGCCGTCATAGCCAGATGTGTGAAGGTACAAATGCCAACGCAAACTCTGTCACACGGAAGAGCAGCTTGTTGCGTGCACTGAGCCGGTGGTATATGGCAGCTATATACAAGAATTCGAGTTTGAAATGAAGGAGCGGTTACAGTCAGCAGTGTTAGAAGTGCCGCGGGGACACGAGTCCTGCCCCCTCTGCGTCTTCTTGTCCCGTGTGCAGGAACACGCGGCTGGCTGACACAAGGCAACAGCAGGCCTGGCTGAGCAGCTGTCCCTTGCAGGTGAGCTGTGTGGAGCTGCAGCAGCAGGCATGTCAGGAGCACAGCCGTCCCCTCAGTGGCCTGGAGCCAGGGGCATACTCTCTCTGGACAGGGGGGTCAGGCTGGGCTCCAGGGCTTCAATCTGCGGAGATGGCAGGGGCCAGTAGATGCTTCTTTATCAATATTTAGTGCCCCCTTCAGTTTCCTTTCATATAATGTCCACACATTACGTAATTCAGAAACACTTGCACTGTTATGAATTGCACCTTTTTGGAAAATGTACTTTCCGGATGGTAAGTGTTGAACTAGTATTTTAACAGTGATGTTGAAGCCCAAAAAAATCTAAAAAAACTACAGTTGAAAAATCAAGTGTTACTCTACATGCACAACTAAGAACCATCACAATATTCTTAAGTCAAAACATAACAGATGTTCAGGCTGGAGAAGCTGAGACTCCGGGTGAAGTGAATTCTGCATTCAGGACTGATAAGAGGAAGCAAAAGCCCACAGCACAGAGGGGCCAAGACGTCCAGAAGAAAAGGAACAGCTGCCGTTTTGTTTGTCCGTTTGTTTTTTTCTGCTTTGGCGCGCTTTCTTAAAGCATGTTAGCTATCAGAAAGAAGGGGGAGAAAAAGGAGTCAATGCCTACCCAGTCTAATGAGATGGTCACAGCTGCAGCTCACAGGAAGCCAGCAGACACCCTAAACAAGAACACGCCACTAGAGCAGCAGGATTCCGTTCTACTGGCGCAACGCGAGGAAGCAGGGAGAGAATGAAAAGTCATGATTTCCTTCCGGAAAAGCGAGCGTCTCGAGGCAGCACGCTCCTCCTGACAGGTGCCGTGGGTAGCAGCTGTTGCAAAGAAACAATCCTCTGTTCCGGCCGATATTCCTGCTGCTCCCTCTTCTGCTGGCTATTTAAACTTTGGGCGCAGCAGTGTGTACTCGGCGTTTCCCGGGAGCGAGAGGAGAAGGAGCAGCTTTCCGGATGGAGTACCTTTCCTTGTTTTAGATGATGTCCGCTAACGAGCAGCACATCTGCCGGTGTGTTATTGTGGTCGCAGCGAAAGAGGTGCGGCCCCCCTCATACAAACAAAGACAGAAGGAAGCTCCTCTCTCTCTCTCATTAACTCCCTTGCTTCCTTGGTTGACATCTGCCGGGCAGAACAGGTACCGAATCTATATCCTCTCACACGGCAGAGTGCATCACGTTTCCAGGCAGCACGCCCTAGCTCCTTCCAAACGTGCATACACACACCTCTCTTTCCGTTTCTGTCTCTCAGTTTACCTTGCACGCCTCCTCCCCTCTGCTTGACTCCGACAAACGGCACTGCTCTCACCCTCTCCTGTCAGCACAGCTTTTCAGGAGCTGAAACAGCAGCTCAGGCGCACGGCCAGCCAACCACACACAGGGAAGGCGGCGGGGCATTTGCATAGTATGAATGGAGGAGACAGCTTAACTCCCACCCCACCCCTTTTCCCTAGAGCCGCTCCGGTCTCCTTGTACATTCACTTTACATAACGAGAATCCTGCGCTCAACGCTACAGAAACACGCTTTCGGTTGCCGGCAGAACTGCAGATAGCAGTGCTTCAGTTTTAGTTAAAAACCCCATGCCATTGATTCGCGTATTGTATTTCCCTTTCATACAAAAGCACTGGTTTCCTAAAAAGTTCAATTATAAAAACGAGGACAACTGTAGGCTGATCGGTCTTACTTTCGTCAATGGTAACATAATGGAAATCATATTGAGAGCTAAAGCAGAAAAATACATATTAAAAAATTATGTGATTTTGTGATGAATTTATGACACTTGAAGAGATAGACATGTATTAAGAAAAGCAAGGTCTTTTTAAGTAAGTGGAGAGAATTCTTTGAACTATCACTCCATAATCATTTTTTGGTGTCTTTTTATAACAGAAGGGCTTGTCTCTGTAAGCCACATTATTAAGCTTGTTTGTTGTCAGGAACAGTAACAATTAACACTAAAGCATATGGCAAAATATATGTTTTACACCCAGAAAGCTTTTGATAAGGTCACTCATAAAAGGTCAATTCACAAATTAAGAAATATAGGATTCCAAGTTAATGTATTCTCATAGACTGAAAACTCGTTAATGAACAGGAAATACCTTCTTAAGGGGCATCAGCTTTAATTGGGCAATATTCAGCAGAAATTGTGGAATTCAAATCAAAGGAGGTTTCAAATGCACTCCTAAGCCCTCATTAAGAATATTGGGTGCAATGTTGGTCACCACACCCCATCTTAAGGAAAATTTAGGTTCACTTAGCTACCAAAAGAGCAAGAATGGCAGAATGACCCACTCCTGCCAGCAAAGTTTCATAGGCCTTCTGTTCAAACAAGTGAAGCGAATCCTCCTTATAGATTTTCTCATTGGATCAACAAAGCAGGAGCAAAATAAAAGCCAACAGTATTGAAATAAATCAGCTTTATTTTGTCTCCCTTCCTGGTTTTCTGTTTATGAGCAGGGTTTGTGGGCTTCACACTCTATTTCTAAGTACTCCACATTCCGCTTTCTGGCACAATTGGTGACTTTCAACGTGCCTGTTTATGGAATTTTAAGTGGAGAAACTAGTTAATCATGACGTGACAACAGAATGTAACAAAACTCAGAAATTAAAGTCACCACATGATCAAAGACAGTTGGTTACCTTACTCAGCCCTGGATCTCAGCTTTATAGTCCTTGTTTTCTTACACTTACAATCAAAAGAACTCAAGTTTATGTTGAATGATAAGGCTCATTTCATTTTCTGCATTCCAATAATGTAGTCTTATGATTTAGTTAGGAATTGCTGGGAAAAATATGGTAATAGAAAAAAATCATCCAATGAAAGACATTAACAGCAGAAGGATGGGTAACAAGATGACAAAGTGAACGCATTGGTTTAAAAAAAAAAGAGCACTTTTCTGTCTGTGTTCATTGTCCCTCTGAGAATAAACAAGCTTAATAATGTGGCTTTAGTGAGACAAGCCTGTCTTTGGAGGCCTGTTGTAAACACACACCAAAAGATTATTATCCATAGTATGAAATTATACACTATATAAACACTGCAACACACTGCCAGGGAGACCCCAGGCACTCATTTTCCACTGCTACCAGCCAAAGAAATATTAATTAAAAAGCTAATTTTGGCTTATTATTTTATTCATTAACATTCCCCACCCAACAACCATAGCAAAAAAAAAAGATAAAGAGGTTTATCAAGAGCCTTTTCCCCAAACCAGTCGTTCATATTAACAAGGATTTTCCATGTCATTTCAAGGCAGAATGTTATTACAAGCTAATTTTAATTGCACTAATTAACTGGCTTTACAGTTACAAGGAGCCCTGCAGTGGACTGAAAGGATCCAATCTGGACATGACAGGCTCGCAGTAGCCATGCAGGTCACAACAAGCCCGAGTGCGACGGGAAAAATATTCTAGTCCAGTGACCCAGGCCCAGAACACATCGCCAAGGGTGCAGGGATATATCTGTTCAGAGGCAAGGGCTGGAGGTCAAACGTGCTTTAGGAAGCACAACAACAATCATACAAGAATTTCTGATGGAAATAAACAGGACCTGTGGCTAAAGGTCACAATGCACAGTAATGGCAAATCATACACTGACTGACAGTTTTTGTCTGGAAGGAGTACCAAGGTCTCATTTACATTGAATAATGGGTTACATTTGTAGACGTGTTAAGTCTCTCTACAGGTATCTTAGTCTAGCTGGGCTCATAAAGACCTGAATCAGCTCGTTATGGTTTTAACGGGTTCTCTTAAAAGTTTAGGTGATGGTGTTAAAAAACCCACAGACACACAGGCCCTCCAGGACCAGCATAGGTTAAAGATAAAGCTGCGATTGAGGCTTTATGGGATTATACTGAATACCATATTTATAAATGTAAAGTCTCTGCTAAAGTCTTTAAATATTAAGTCTTTAAATTCATTGTTTTATTGAAAGACATGAAAAACCTAGCTGTAATGAGTATATTTATTTCAATTTGGGTTTGTACTTTTAGCTCTTATTTTTAGCTTACAGAATTTGCTGGTGTGATTTGTCCCTGATCCGTCACCAGCTGAAGCCTGTTGCAATTGAGTTTCATTTTAAGGACACCTGGGACCTGTCTCGAACTTGCCTGTCTGGCAATTGGGACTCACTAGCAAACTAATTCAGTCTAGTCCTACAGTACAAGCCTGCTGATTCATTGACCAAGCTTTATCATCCAATGGTAAACAACTTGAACTTGCACAACAGTCCATATACTGTAACTGCATGTTGATAACAGTTTATTATCTACTTGGACACAATGTGAATAAGTTGATAAACTTTAGTATCCTGAACATAACAGAAAAAATATAGCTTCCAATTTAAAGACAGGTGTGTGTGCACCCTGCTTCTCCAACAATGATTCTAAACCCACATGGTTTATTAAATAATTACATGCAAATTTGAAAATATGAAATCATGTAACTTGAAGCATTGGATCAGAATTACAGTATATCACCACTTAGGGTAGTAAAAACATAGATGTTAGGCCTAAGATCAATTCTATAATGTCTGCATTTGCTAAACACAAATTTTAAGACGTTTGCACGCTGCTCTGAAAGGGTCTCTTTATGTGGAATTCTTTTTAAAATGTCATTCAGTTAGAGAAACTATGGTCAATGAGATCAACAACAACCAGCCTATCAAACAGACTGTCATACTGGCTCATACAGGCAATGTTAATATGTACAGTACTGTAGTTCAATGTGTTAAAGCATTTTTAACAGAGGACATTAATCCTAAAAGAGCTTACTTTTTTTATAAAAGATTTAAGAGTTCAACAAAACTTTGTGTTCTCAGATAAATGCTAAGTTATCCCAACTTTATGCATTGCTACACAGCTACACAGCACTACATAAGCATGCATATCTGAAAGAATATAAATATTCGACCTTAAAAAAGCCTGAAAACGGACACATGCAGACACACAGTAAGGTTAGGAAGGACAAAATAGCCTCTTGCACATGGACAGATAGGAACAAACACATTTCAAGGCACTTCGCAAAAAAAAAAAAGCTTTCATTTTGTAGAATAACTGTCTGGGCTTAGTGCATAATTTATATTAGAGTCTCCTAAATATAGAGGACTACTACTTTGCTAACATTATTCATTCTGGAATACTAGAGCAGTAAACATTTTATTACACTGCTTAGCCAGAGCACTTAACTAGAGCACTAGATTTACTGCCTGCCCCAGCCACAGTACATACAGCCCTGCAAGACTGGGAACACGGATGAGACGCTAATGAAATAACAGGCCATGCAGGTTTGTAAAACTACAATATGTGGTTGATTTTTACGATGGCGAGATAAACTAGTTTATCCGTATTACTGAACCAGGCTGCATGTACAGCGAACACCTTAAATTTACTGGTGGTGTTCAGTGATAAGTCTCCCAGAAGTATGATTAAAATGAATGGGGGAAGAAAAGAGTTGGACAGCAAGATTTATGTACAGTATCAACAGCTCACATGTATGTTCCTTCTCCCTTTAGACACCCTGTGCCCAGACAAAGGCAACATTACATTATTCCAGTAAAACAAGCACAGTAACAAGTAATGACCCACAGCCGGCAGGCACTTAAACTTAACTGCCTCCTCAGAGGAAATATTCACAATGTTTAACGTACTTGCCCTGACACCTTGAACTTCGAACTGGGTATTCTCTTTCAACATTCACAGCTCCATAATTCGCAATATAAATATTTCTGCAGACTGCAGACACACAAACACAGACATATTCCTAGACATGCTGTAAAATGTGCCCTGGTATCTAATATTCACAGCAGTTGGCAATAGTTTTCAACTCATCTGCAGTGCAATTTGTCATTGCAGACTCCAAAAACAGGAGGAGGGGTAAAAAGTAACTCAGCAGTGGCTCCTTTTAAAAACAAGGCCTGTTTTCCCCCCACTGCAATTGTTTTGTGAAAGTGATATTGCTTAATGGTTATCAAAGACACAGATGGAATCAAGGAAGTGGTCTGGAAGGCTGAGTTACCTTCCACAGATCTTGGAAGAGATATAACTGCAAATCTTTTGGTTTGGCCTTCACGTTACAAAAAGGAGATAAGGTTGTCGTTTTGATAAACAAATGAGACTCATTGTGCAGTGGCATGGCAGTTAAGGTCACATTAAAGGAACAAGGTGGTTCTGAGCTTTCCATCATGGATCAATAGAGTCTGTATGAGTACATTTTCCCAGCTCACTTAGGACACATGGAGGATGTTCTTTAAAACAGAACAGAGAATATATGTGAGACTGTATATTAATTGTTTGAGACTGAAAAGAGAAAAAAAATCTAGGGACTAAACATCATTACACTTTTCATAATCTTTACAATGAAACATGGAAAGACTGGTAAAACAAACAGTA